GGCTCCCTCTTTTAGGCCTTACCTGATGTTTATGGTCTGCCTTTACTCAACGGGGTGATTGTTCCATCTTCCAAAGAATCCTGAGTGATTTCGATGCATGTATGGGAAAGAGCTTGTGAAAGAGTTCGCAGGGTGGCATTTTGTTCTACCGAATGAAATGGTTTTTTGTTTTCAGTCAAAAAATAAGCACAATGGGATCTTAGGTTTTCTAAAACTTTGAGTTAATTGTGAAATGGTAAGGGTGTGCTCCACTGTCGATACATGGGTAACTTTCAAAGATTTTGTATAGATGGGCAAGTGGACTTATAAGTTGGTAGTTATTGATGTGCTCTGTTCCTTTTTCCCCTTTTATCAGTAAGGTCTGAAATTTTATTTTTCCCATGCCTTTGATATCTTTTTTTCATATATCTTGTATATCAGTCCCTCAGTGCTCTCACAATTGTATAGCCTCCAGCATGGATCTGCTCTATATACATTTGGTCCACTCTGGCTTTGTTCTTGTCTTCTGTTCATTTTAGTGGCATCTCTGTCTCCTCTAGAAACATGTACAGAACTGTGATGTTAGGGACCGAGTGTTAAGAAGGATTTCTTGAAATTATTTTTGCAAATCTTTTCCCTTTTTCTTCTCTTTGTAGCCTTCCTTCCATTTTCATCCTTGCATGTCCTTGGGATAAATCTGTCTTCAAAGACCAGCTTAGCCACTTGGTGAATTTGGGGGACAAAGGACAGAGGATGACAATCCATGAAGCCAAGAAAAATAAAACCTGGGCTTAAGTCTTATGTGGCCCTCCTGCTTCTGCAGAAGCCATGGCAGAATGGTTGGAAAGGGAACAAAGGGTGCTAAGAATCACAGAATTTTGAACCATCAAACTTTAATTTGATTGTTAATAGTGTAAATGTGAGATCCTTGACCAGTGAATGGATATATTACTGGAAGAGGTGAACCATCACTCTTGACATTTGTGCTATACATGAAGAAGGAAGATGCAAATAACAGGAAGGATAACTCACAGGCACTCCTTGGAGAGGCAGAGAAAGGTGTTGGTAGAGTGGATTTTATCATATACTCAGAGGCAACAAAAAATGTTCTTTTCTGGGATATTTGACAGTTGTATATTGCAGCATTAATGATAAATATTTGCAAGAAGACTACCATAAAAATACAGTTCATTTTTGTATCCCTGCAAAGTCTTGTACAATATAGCTTACTCAGTAAATGTTGAATTTAATTTAATTGCTCTCAACTATGTGCCTGGTACATAACAAGCTCCTAGTAAATATTGGTTTGTGATTTCTAAGTAGCAGTTTATTGTAGAATAAACAGCAGTTAAAGGACTGACAAAAACAAATCTGCTACAGCGTGGTCATTTAAAATGGGAAAGATAAGCATGCATAAATCGACATATACAATGTAAATTAATATGCATACATTATTATTTAATTATAGTTAAGATGGCTACATTAATAATATAAACACACATGTAGCTTCCTCATTTTTCGCCTTAGACAAAACCACCAATATTTTTCTCATGTTTTTTTAGTTCTTAAGGGCTCAGGCCATCAGCAAAACCATCATTAAAGATTTATTAGGTGACTATTGTTTTTGTGTAAATGGACCATAAAGTCCTACTGGAATGCCTCGTCATGGCATGGAGGTGACTTTTGGAAGGCTGTGCCAGCAAAATGCATATTTTGGTACATTCTCGCTAGCTGGGTTTCCAGGACATGCCCAGTTTTGTTGTCTTGAGAACTAGTCTAGTTAAACACACAGAGTTTCATCACAAACTTGACTTCAGGGGGATGTATTTTTTTTTTCAGCTTCCTCTACTAGGTATACAAGAGTTATGATTTTTTTTTTTATGAGGCAATCGGGGTTAAGTGACTTGCCCAGGGTCTCACAGCTAGTAAGTGTCAAGTGTCTGAAGTCACATTTAAACTCAGGTCCTCCTGACTCCAAAGCCACTGTGCCACCTAGCTGCCCCCAAGAGTTGTGATCTTTATGAATGAAGGGAACACCTACACTGATAGAATGCCAGATCCTTGAAGTATGGAGGAGGGGTTGAAGTCTGCCTCTGTGAAAGGTTTCATTCACCTTGATGAATCAAGAATCTTTTAAAGTATTTAAGTAGCATGAACAAAGAATAGATTTTAAAGCCTAAAAACTCAATAGTGTGGCATTAATCTCATTATAATGAGCTATTTGGCTAACTCTTCCTGAATTAGAGAAGATAAAATCTACATTTGTGGAGGGGAGTTCCCATACTGATGAAATAATAAACCCTTGAAATATCTTAGTGTGTATAGATATATTCCCTTATCTTAATTTGAAATGAAAGATCACTTATTAGAACAGATCCATCAGGCCTTTTAAATCCTATTTATTGTACCATAATCTAGTACTTAAATCAACCAATATTAGGCAAGGTACATTTTGTGTGTGTATGTATATTTTGTCATATATTTATATAATTATCTATGTAATAGATAATTATATAGCATAATTAATACAAATACTCAAATATGTGTATCCCTAAATAAATACACCTATATATCCTTACATCTATATGTATGTATATGTACATATATATAAATACACCCTTTATATCTATAATTAATGCTCAAATATATGTGTATCCCTGATTAAGAAATGACTAACCCTGAGGGAGATGCTAACCTTTATAATTGACACTTATATAATAACACTTTAAAGTTTGCAAAGTGCTTCGCACATATAATTTAAGCAAGCACACAACCTGCCAGTTTTAGAGCCAAAATGTACAACCTGGATTTAAGAAGTTAATAGGCACCCTGATGTTCATCCGCTTGATCTAAAGAGGACAGAGTCTGTCATAGTTCACCTCTGTCCAGATTGTGATTGACAGTGATCACCTAAAAGGCCAAAGCCAGAGGTGGTAGGTCAGAGTGAAGGTCTTGAAGAGTCAGGTTGGGGGTGGGAAGTGAGTAGAGTAACAAGATTTCTAATAACATTAGAGAGATGCTCCCGAGGATTCCAGGAGTCCTTGGGTAGCAGTAAACCTTCTTTTTAGGATTCTTGGTCTACTCATTAGGGTTTAGCTAGTCAGTAAATGGCCAAAGATTCCCTTAACCAATTCACAATCTTATCGGCAGGACCCAGGTCTGAAGAATAGAGGCAGAAAAATAGGATAGTCATTTCTAAACATGCTTTGAAAACATATTTCATTGGAACATTTCAAATGGAAGCTTTTTTTAAAGAACACCACTAGGAAAAGAAAAGCACTTTAATGCATTTCTGAAGAGAGGTGCTGTTTCTTTGGCCAGAAATAAAAGGAAGCAGAAATCCTCAAAGCACAAGGCACAATCCTTGAGCCTGTAACTTCGAGAATTCTTCTATTTTGCAGCATTTTCAATGTTCAGCTTCTTCCTTGGGCTTCATATAATGTTCTAGTTGCCAGCTTCAAATGTATTAGTACCTAAAAATATATTCCAGCTTCCTCAATCAGAACTAAAAAATTTAATTGATTTTTAAAAAATTAATAAGAGCATTCAGATTTGACTGTGGGCAAAGGAGGAAAAGTGACTTGGATAATTGACTATTCCCAAATTAAGGGCAGTGACCACAACTGCAAACTTCCTTTATTCTGACAAACTAAAAGTACACAGAGGATGAGGCGATGAGGCAGATTGTGCTTACTCCTTACAAAATTTCTTCCTGAGTTCACTCAGGATGTTCAGAGTTCAAGCAATTTTATCTCAGAGAATTGCAATTAATACTTTAGTTAATCAGGGTAATAAACTGATCCTTGTGGTAGCAAATACTGGATCTGAGGTTAGAGGCTGAAGCAGTTCATCTTAGACACAGACTCTGTTGATATGTTTTAGGTCAGAGAAATAGCATCTCTTTTTACTTCCTTTTCTTTTACTAAAATAGAATTTTTAAATCCCTAAAGATTATGTTCAATATTATTAATGTTTTTTACTGGATTCAAATTCTGTGAAAACTGATAATCTGGATAGGTTAAATGGTCACTCTGGAACACACCATTCAATGACCACACTATATAAGTTAGAGTGAAGGGGGGCATTGAGAAAAAAGGGTTAATTATTTTAACATTACAGATGTGGTCCATACCCATTTCTCAAACCAACTTACAGCAGGCCATCAATTTGTTCTGTTTTAGTATTAAGGGTGCAGAAGAATAATGTTCCTGGGTTAAGTAGTTATGATAGAAATTAATCAGACACTGTTCTTTGCTCTCTAGAAGAATAATCTACAATTTAAAAGGGACAGGAAAGGCCCAAGAAAATGAAACATTAACACAACTGTATTCCTTTCAGGAAAAGCACAGTTTAAAATTATACAAGCCTCAGTTTCAGTCCATGATACTGCTGATAGTCAACTTTTACATAGCACTTTTACATATAGGTAGTGTGGTATATTGGGCACTGGACTTGGAGTCAGGAAGACCTGAGTTGTACACAATATGCTTAATATGTGAAGAGGATCTTGAGCTAGGAAATCCAAAATTTTGAACTTAATGGCTTTCAGTAACCATTATTCTCAGGGTTGTTGTTAATGATACCATTATACTTCTCCTCTACTCACACCCCCCACCCCCCAAATAAAGTAAAAATATTTTAATCAAAGGGTAGCTAGGTGGCACAGTTATATAGCACAGATATAGTGCTGGTCTTGGAGTCAAGAAGACCTGAGATAAAATCCAGACTCAGACTAGCTGTGTGACCCTGGGCAAGTCACTTGACCTTATTTGCCTCACTTTCCTCATCTGTAAAATGAGCTAGAGAAGGAAATCGCAAACACTTTGGCTATCTTTGCCAAGAAAACCCCAAAAGGGGTCACAAAGAGTCAGACACGACTGAAAACAACTAAATATTTTTAATCAAATATATGAAAAATGGAATTAAAGTATTCTGAGTAGCCATTTGTACATGTTCAATTTGTCTGCTGTTCCTGGATATTTTACTTTAAAATGCAACAGAGTTTTTTCCTCTTTCCCCAGGAAGACTATGATCGCCTGAGACCTTTATCTTATCCTATGACTGACGTCTTCCTTATATGTTTTTCTGTCGTAAACCCAGCCTCCTTTCAAAATGTGAAGGAGGAGTGGGTACCAGAATTAAAGGAATATGCACCGAATGTACCCTTCTTATTAATTGGAACTCAGGTATGTCTGATAACTCAGGTATGTCTCTTCCCTTTCTACTCTGTTCTAGCTTTCCTTTTGCCTGAGTAACCATCTGACAGGTTTGATCATGTTGCTTGCTCAGAAACCAATGACACCTCACTGCCTCAGTTACAAAAAATCTAGCCTCATCTCCTGCTGTCCAAAGCCAAGCTAGATGAGTCAGTATCCTTGATACTCAACCTGCTGAATTCCTACCTAATTCAAGGCCCAGTCATGACCTTTGATTTCCCCACCAGAAACAAATCCCCTTTATGTTCCCCCAGAACTCTGGGACCTTTCCTTTAGCATTTATTGCATTCTCCCCTTAAACATGTTATATGTAGTCATATATAACTAAAGAAAAGCATCTTGTTATCTTCTATCCCCTCAGTGCTTAAACATGTTTGAACTCAACTTCTTTCCAAGAAAAAAGATTCCCGGTAGCTGCTATAGTTGGTTGGGGGTCTGGGTCAATCAGATGGCTGCAAAGTTTAGCAAGTAATCCAAATTGTTTCACCTTTGAATTAGGACTAAGTTCTATAGTCAGTTTGGAGAAAGTAATGCTGGAAAGAACAACTACAATAGTTTGAAGAAAAAAAAAACGCACCTTTTTAATCCATTTTCTTTAGGAACGTGGGAAATAAGTGGGAATAATTATTTTATTTAACCTTGAAAAGTTTTGTAATTTTGGTACATTACCAATCTTTTTAGATTGATCTTCGAGATGACCCCAAAACTTTAGCAAGGCTGAATGATATGAAAGAAAAACCTATATGTGTGGAACAAGGACAAAAACTAGCAAAAGAGGTAAATAGATCATTCTTGCATATCTTTTCAGGTAAACCTATTCTTATTAAGATGCATAAGGTAAAAATAATGTCAGAGATGAACCTATGGAATACCAGCTTATACTTTCTTCTAAAAAGTAAACTTTTAAAAAGCAACTCAGAAATATGGGCTGACAAGTTGGAGAAATTTAAAATGCTTAAAGAATTTTTTGGTCACTAGTTAGACAAATGATATATGACCATTTAAAGGTGAAAGAAACTTAGTACATGCATCTGATTAGTGGAGCAGCTGCAGAATTTCAGTAACTTTTCAAACAATTATCAGTCTTGCAGCTTGGTTTAAAAGTAACTAATTCATGATCTTTCTCAACTTCTTGCAGAATTAATTACTCATTATGGCAATAAGCATCAGTCACTTGAAGAAATAATAGTGGCACATATAAGATCTTTCTATTAGAATTCTTAGTAGCCTCTAGATTAAACCTAAGAGAAAACTGAGTATTTTGGTTCTGACTCTGTACTAATGGGAAATTTATATTGTTCCTTGTAATAGTCAACTAGAAATTAATGGAAATAGGGTATCTTTGAAATATTTTAGAGGACATTTTTTTCAAGCAAAAAATCCATAATAATTTGCTTTGGAAAACTTAAAAATGCCTAATTATTGACCTTTTCCCCCCACAGATAGGAGCATGCTGCTATGTGGAGTGCTCAGCTTTAACACAGAAGGGCCTGAAGACGGTTTTTGATGAAGCTATCATAGCCATTTTAACTCCAAAGAAACACACAGTGAAAAAAAGAATAGGATCAAGATGCATAAACTGTTGTTTAATCACGTGAGACAGGTCTGCACTGTCCAGGAATACTATGTATTTCTCTCCCACTATAGGAAGCGGTACAGATAAACCTCTTGCAGGTAAAGTTTAGAAGCTGAGGTCAAGAAAGTAAACTTCAGAAATCTGCGAAGTTCATTAAGAATAGCCAACCACAGGCCAGGAAGCAGCCAACAGCATCATCTGAAGCCACAATCTATTACAAATACTTTATTTCAGCTAGAAGGTACAATCTCTCAGGGGTTTCATAGTTTAAAAAGCTACAACCACACCATGTTGCAACTGCATAAAAAATGCTGTAAATGGAATTGCTTGGCTCTGTAGTAATACTTCAGAAGGTTTGAATCTTCTGCTTTGACCACATAACTTTCTGCACAGTCTTTATGGAATCTGCACAAAGAAACGCCTTCTCTTTTGCTCCACTTATCTGCTCTTGTATGTGAGCTGCTTCCTGTTCCTGTAAATCCATACAGGGGAAATGAGAAGACCAGCCACGTACCCAAAGGTGGCTCCCAGCGTACAAGAGATGGGCCAGACCTAAGGAGAGAGTGTGGGAGACAAGAGGGAAAATGTTTTATCTTGTACTTGAGCACAAGTTCTGTGTAATCTAAACATTTCTATTTTAAAGCTTAACATGCTTTCCTAATGAATGCCAAAACTGTAATAAGATTATACCTGCATTTATCATGAACACTAAATGCTGTACAGTTTTTAGTTAATGTGCAATTAAGATGTATCTGAACTTCTGCCAACTGTAGATTTAGTTTGATGCTCCCAAAACTTGCATGAGAAACATGCTAAAACTTAAGTTTTGGGTCAGACTTATGAAATATCTTCCCACTTTGCTGTATATCTGGGGCTCAATTCAGGTCTTCAAACCAGTTCATTTTTATAAAAAAAAAAAAAAAATTCTTGCCCTGTTGCTGTGTACACTGGATGACTAAGAAGGAAGATGTGATTACCAAACAGAAAAATCTTTAAACTATATAAAATAGGGGAAAGGACCCCGAAATCAAAACCTGTTACATGAAATTTATCACAGAACAGATGCTGTCAAAAGAAGTCCTTTTGGGAACCCCTCCCCACCAAAAGAGCTAAGATTGAATGTCCTCTGAGTTTCACTTCAGAATTGGTAACAAGATAAATACACAGAGCTAAAATGGACTTAGTGATCACCTAGATCAGGGATTCTTAACCTTATTTGTTTCATGGCCCCTTCTCAGAATGTTTTTATATGCATAAAACAGAAAAGAATACAAAGGAAACCAATTATTGAAATAGTTATCAAAATATTTTAAAAAACAAGTTCGTGGTCACAAGGTTAAGAACCCCCGATATATTCTAGACCAAACCCCTCCCTCATTTTTATGGCTGGGAACACTTGGGGTTCACAGACATGAAAGGATTTGCCCAAGATTACAAAGGCAGTAAGTGGAAGAACCAGAATTTGAAACCAGATCTTGACCTCCAGCTCCTGTACTCTTAACACTAGTCTTTTAGTCAGTTTCTTGAGCCTTACAATGACAGGAGTAAGGAATGTTGATTTTATTTGCCTATTGGATCACAGAATTTCAGAGTTGGAAGGGACTTGAAGGCCACCAGTCCAAACCATATATGAAAAAGGATTCTCTCCACAACTATGCCCTATAAGTAGCCCTCTGGCTTTTGTTCAAAGAGCTTAAGTAAGAAGGGGAAATCACTTATGTTCCAAAATATCCTATTTCCCCCTTTTAGTTTTTCTTTACATTAAGCCTAAATTTTCTTCTCCTCAACTTCTACCCTAATTTGTAGTACCCAGAACTGAAGATTCTATTTCATATATGGTTTAATTTGCTTTCAGACAAACTTCTGCCATAACCACTTTCCCACTCTGGACTCATGAAAATGATTTGTTGAATCCAAATGAGTCTTTACATTTATTCTTAATAAATTTCATCCTTTTGGATTTGGCCCAATGTTCTATACCATCAAGATCTTTAGAATCCTAGCATCCAGTATATCAGCTATCCCTCACAATTCTGAGTCATCTGCATAGTTAAAAAGCACACCATCCATGCCTCTATTCATGATAAAAACACCAAACAGCACAAGACCAAGCACAGATCCCCAGAGCGCTCCACTGGAGTCCTCCTGACGCCAAATCATTAAAAATGACTCTCTGAACCCTCCCAATCATTCAACTCATTCCAAGTCCACCTAAACGTACTACCAGCTAGCTGATGTCCCCCGCCCCCTTCATTTCCTCCCACAAGAATAGCATGAGATATCAAATACTTTAGTAGCAATCATGTACAAAAATGAAATGTAGTAAAGTCTGACATGTCCTGCCCATCATGTGGATCTTTCATCACCATGCTTCCTTTTCTATAAGTTCACTACTTTGTGAGATTTTCCCAGGAACTGACGTCTGCTCATAACTGGCAGAGACCATTTTCTTCACAACTTTAAAAAATGACGACATATGCCCTTCTCCAATCCTGCAGTAGCTCTCTGATTTTCTTGGTATAGGTTGCACAATCTTCAGGAAAAGGATTGGTTGGATTTTTTTTTATTTTAAATGTATTCATCTGTAAGTATGTATTTCAATATACTGGAACTTCTAGTCCTTGAAGTACATACCACAGTACAACTTTAAGGTAATACTTAGTCTTCATAGCACAGTCCTCTTGGTAAAGGAACCTCTTTGCTAGGGGTCCATGACAGACTGGCCTAATACTGAATAACAACACTCTTATGTAATCATTCAAATAAGGCTCAATTATACAAAGGGTAGTCAGTAATTAAGGCAAATTTTCATTTTTATCAAGTATTTATTAAATATATACACCACTACATACCCTCGTTACTTTGTCTAAATATACACTATGCACTCAAATCACCTTATTGACTACACTTCTTATATAAACATATAGTCAGGCAAATTTAACCTAAGACTACCCTACCACCATTTTTTTTTCTTGACTGTAAAATGTTAACTATCCCTTTCTATATTTCAGAGTCAGGATAACTCATCTGATTCAAGTAGCTAAGAGTATCGTAGAATATCTCCTAGTTTATATAGCCCCAATCATGATTTCTGTTATATTCAGTTTGATTTCTATAAGATTCTAGGCACAAGCTGATTAGTTACCACTAGACTGCATATTTCTGGGTAATGGAACACTAGATTGTTCCCACTTGAAAAATGTTTCAGTACTTAAATGTGCTGTCAGTCATTAAATTAATAATATAATGGCTCACTGTATGTTAAGCCTATAGGAAATGTTTTTTTTTTAATACAAAGGTTTCTGCATAATAATAATAAATATTTACATCATGCTTCTCAGTTTATACAGTGTTTTCCTTATAACAAGCCTGTGAAGCAAAGTGTATTATCCCCATTTTATAGATGAGGGAAACTGCTCAGATGGGTTAAGTGATTCCTAAAATAAGATCCTACCTCTCAACATTCACACAAGTAGGAAGTATAAGAGTTGGGACTTGAACCAAGGTGTTCCGAATCCAGTGATCTTTTCACTACACCACTTTACAAGATTATTCTGCCCAGTAAAAAAACTATTTTTGTATCATCTAAGTTGTTTGAGAAATGATGACTTTGGAGTCAGAAGGCCTGGGTGACCTTGGGCAACTCCCTCAGCCTCTCTGGGCACTAATTTCCTCACCTGTAAAGTGAAGGAGATTGAAGAGATGATCTCTATGGTCTGGCTCTAATTAGTCTTATGAACAAGAATAGTGACCGCTTACCATTTTCAATTAGATTTGGTGGACTGTTGTTTTCAGATCATAACCATGGACAGATTTTTTTTTATGGTGTAAATGGAATCTTCAGAAATCTAGCTGAGCTTATTTAGAATATCCAAGCTTATTAGATGATAACCTTCAAAGCTTAGAATTTCTATGAAGACAGGTCCCAAATGGTTAGATTTAGAACAATGAATCCCTGAAGTAGCTGCATTATTTGAATTTGCACTGCATAGTTCCATATTTTACATACACAGTGCAAATTCAAATACATGTAACCTCTCCTGGCTGGGGAGGCAGGAGACCCCTTCTAATTGCAGCTCTGCCATTACCTTTTGCAGGTCACCTCACCTCTTTAGGGCTTATTTTCCTCACCTGTGAAATGAGTTCCTTCCAACTCTAAAATTGTAAAGATTCTAATTGTACTTGGTTGCTTAATAAACATTTTTAGACCATTAGGCTTTCATCTTCACATTCCAAAGACAAATTATTCATTCATTATTGGTCTTTAGAGCTTTAGCAAAGATGATAATGTCATCTGTGATTCTGAGGTGCCTTAGGTTGTACTCTTGAGCTTGATGAATTTGGGGTGATTTGTCCTCTATTCAGAGCTATTTAAAATGAGCATTTTCTTATGGAAAGTCCTAGTTATGCTACTTTAACTCAACCAAAGATTCTGGTTTTTTTTGTTGTTGTTGCCGTTAATATTAGGTCACTGGAAAGGGCCTTTCAGTAAAACTCCAAGGCTTGAGGATTTTTTTTTTTTAAAGACAATGAAGGCAGTTGTTTGGAAATAAAATAAAACCATATTATAGTAATATGAGCTAACCTGGAAGATCAGTCTGAAATTACATTTTCAAAGGAATTAAGTTTGATTATACAAATGTGGGAAGTAAATCCAAATAACTTAAATTGTTCTTTTATTGCTTAATATAAGTCTTGTTTTAATGAATAATAAACTTATAATTAGTATTTTTTGCATAAAATGTGAAGTCTTTAAAAATATCTTTTTCTCTCTGAAATTGTTTTATATTCTCTGCTTAGTGCATTACCTTTTACAGCAAAATGAACCTCAGCCCAGAGTAGGTTAAGCTTTCAAAAATTCCAGATTAGTAGTGCCTGAATGAAGCTTTATCATAGAGTATTTTAGTAACCTTTGTTTCAAAACAGTGCTTCTATGTGCAGTAACATTATTAAATTTAAATACAAAATAACAATTCTGTTTCTCCCTAAGTGATTATTTTTTTTTTGGTCCCATATTAACTCCTACATGACAAATAAATGAATATGCAGAGTTTAGGATGTGTGCAAAGCATCAAACTTTTTATCTTGTATAGTAGTAGCCTGTATTTAAAACTAAATAATAGCCTTTGTCCTATTAAGTAAAGAGAACTTGTATTAGTTTTCCTTCTTCCCTTTATTTTCACTTTTCCTTTTATCTACCTAATATGGTCAAAAAGTCCAAACCATTTGGAGTCAACAAGTTCAGCCCACTTGTAGTCTATTAAAATCCAAAAATATTTTCAAAGGTTTGGTAGATCTTCCTTTTAGCTGCCCAGTCAAATTC